AATAAGATTCTGTAATTTTTTCAAAGTGGTTTTAAGAAAAAATAACAATGTTTTTTCTGCAAATTTTATTTGGACACCTGTCATTTTGAACGTCGTCATTTTGACAGGACATTCAGGCAGCTGTCATTTTGGAACCTGTTTTTTGACAGCTGTCATTCAGGCACTTGTCATTTTAACATATGTCATTTTGACATTTGCCATTTCGAACAACGTCTGTACTATTGCATGGAAGGGAATCACTTCGTTGATGTAAAAATTTTTTGTTTTTCTCTTCATTTTAATATTAGGGGTGGAGCGCGAAGGGGTGTGAATAGTACGTTAAAATTCGTCTCCCTAGAAATAAAAATTGATGTGTCCACAAAACGTTTAGGGGGGGGGTAGAAGTTTTCGTTGGAACACCCTGTATAGGATATTTTTTAAATGTTTAACACAAAAATTATTTAAATTAAATTAAAAATTGCAAGAAACTTAATTCTATTAAAATCCGGCCATAAATAACGGAAATAAAAGGTTTATGTAAAAACAAAACAAGTTCTATAATTCAAAAACAAGCCTAAATAAAAATATTTATTAAAAAAAACTGTTCTACAACCTTTATTACGTTGCCAATTTTAAATAAAAACACCTTGTGTTTATAACTTTTACTTCGATAATTTTTAAAATAATATCCATAACAAAAACACAATAGGTAATTATTTTATTTGCGCTGCATATATAAGTAGTTTAAAAAATACATTGGCACAATGTCAAAATAGAAATACTTAGAAATACTACATTAAAACATTTTTCTCTCACAATCGGTTTTAATAAATCGGTCGTCATAATTGTAGATTTAACAAAACGCGAACGCGCTGCCCAAAATTACATTACTTTACATTGGAACAAGTGGATATATTTGACGAGAGTGACATCATACGGAGCGAGAGGTGCGCTACCATGCGCAATGGCATAACATGTTTCCTTGTATCATGGATGGACTTAATGGCCCCGCCAGAAGATCTGTGCTTAAGCTAGTTCAGCATGAAAAGTTTTTCCAAATATTTTTAGAATTTGTGTATTTTCTTAAGTTGTGTTTAGTATATTAAATATCACCAATGATTTTTAAGCTGGAATACAATTTTAGTTTACGATCTGCGACTTTTAGGTTATTAAACTAAGATCCTAGACCAAAACTAAGATACTCTCAGTCCCTGTTCAGAAAGATTCAAGGACAAGACTTTTAACATAATATGTTTCTCATATTATGAGAAACGGAATAGCCTTAAACATATGTGATGTTTGGGTTGTTGTTGGGTGAACATTAGGGCTGTCAGAAATAAAAATATGAGGCGGTTAACCGGTCATAGGATTTTTAACCGGTTTTTAAAAAACCGGTTTTGAAAACCGTACATAAACGGATTTTAACCGGTCGAAAAAACCGGTTTATTCGACCGGTTAAAAAAAACAATTTTTTTAACCGGTTAAAAACGATTTTTGAACCGGTTAAGAAAACCGATTTTTTTGACCGGTTAAAAATCGATTTATTTGACCGGTTAAATTCGGTTTTGAAAACCGGTTAGAAATTGATCCAAAACCGGTTTTTGATTATTCAGAAAAATCGATTTTTAACTGGTTTTTATGAACGAGTTTTTAACCAAGTTATGATTCTTTTAAAACTTAACAGCAAATTGCACGGTAAATAAAAACCAACAAATCAAATTCTTTTGGCAGCATATAAAGACCACTATGAAAAAGAATTTCTTCCGAAGAAAGATATATCAAATGCTATAAGATATTACTTCATGTTTCATGATGGTTCATAGGTACTTCTTAAAGTACCTAAGTTTTAATGTAAAGGCAAATGTTTTTAAACAAAAGATTACTCTCTAAACAACAAAATTAGTCAAATATCCATAAAAAAACACTAGTTAAACCATTTTATTCAACAATCTAGCTTTATTCACAACTGTCATTCATAATGTTATGAACAGATGGCGGCAAAACCACGTTTTTGAAAAGAAAAAGTTGTTTATTTTATAAATCTTTATTTTAATTATCTAAATGGTATTTAATAAATAGTATTTATGCGTATTTTATGTGTATTTAGTAAATACACATTTGGCCCAGTCACAGAAAAGTCAATATTTTATTTTTTACTTAATTTTAGACAACAAAAACAAAAGAAAAATCTATTGAATCCAACTATTACAATAATAATAGTTGAATTCAATAGATTTTTCTTTTTTATTTACCAAAATTAAGTAAAAAATAAAGTATTGACTTTTCTGTGACTGGGCCAAATGATATGATTCTGGGCTCGTACATTATATAAGCACACGCCGCTCACGAACGGCTTGTGCTGCAGTGCTTACCGACAAAGGCCGCATCACACAGTCCGACTTTTAAAATGTATAGACTATGACCGGTCTTGGATCGGTCAAGAAAACTGATTTTCACCAGTCGAAAAGACGGTTTTCAACCGGTCGAAAAAAACGGTTTTCAACCGGTCGAAAAAAAAACGGTTTTCAACCGGTCGAAAAAAAAAACGGTTTTCAACCGGTCGAAAAAACCGGTTTTCAACCGGTTGAAAAAACCGGTTTTTAACCGGTCAAAAAAACGGTTTTTAATCGGTCAAAAAAAAACGGTTTTTAACCGGTCGAAAAAACCGATTTTAAACCGGTCGAAAAAACCGTTTTTTATTAAAAGTATAACCACGGTTTCCACGGAAAATAAAAACCGGTTAACCGAATACTTGTGACAGCCCTAGTGAACATACATGTTAAGAAATCGATGTTTATGAACAGCAAGAAAGAGAATAATAGGCCTCTAAAACGCAATAAAGTCACAGCTCAACAATGTAGAAGTAGATATAGCAAATTAAAATATACATGATTTAATTTTATTAAATCTTTATCAAAATTTCATATATTAATCTATTTATTTATAATTAAATGAATAAAAATTATATTAAAATATATTTATATTATAATTAAATTATATTATAAAAGTATATACTATATTGTATGTAAGTTTGATACATGGCATTTTAGGCACAAGCGAAGCTTGCGAGCGAGTGTTTAATAAACGAGTGTCTAGATAAGTTTATAAACAGAGTTGCTTTATTAACAACAAAAACAATAGTTAAATAATTTTTAAAAATATATAAAATCAGACATCTGTCAGACTGTTGTAACCTCACTTTCTAGTTGCTTTATTTTGACACTCCTTAATTTCAATTAAATTTCTATTCAGTTAAGGTGCAACATCCACCGACAAACAACAACAACGACAAATATATATAGGTCCACAGTGTGGGTTCCACACCTAAAGGTCTTAATTTAGAACATTTGACGAAATTAGCGTTAAACTGACAGAATACAAATAATTGAGTTTATCTATCTGAGATAGATAACCTGAATTATTTATATTCAAATGTCAATATAGGACTTTTGGGTGTGGAGCAGGGCTCCCAGCAGGTAGTTTTTTTAAAGACTTGTCTATATTTTTGTCTTAAGTCTATAAAAGTCTATTTTTTTACCTAAAGTCTATAAAGTCTATATTTTCTGTTACAATCAACTATTAAAAAATATTTTTTTAAATATAAATATTCAGTTTTATAAATATCGAAACCACAGTAAACCAAGTGAAACATTCAAAAACTTCGCCAAAATTATTGCTGAATTGTTTCTGGTTTGGTCTAGGGTTTCGTTTACGTTTATAGTTTCGGTTCGCTAGGTTATCACTACCTATGCATTTTTCATGAAATTAGTAAGTACCTAGTATCTATCAAAGAACATGTGACAAAGAATGTGTTCCTATTCTATGTTTTATCATCCATTCCATAACCCTAAAAAAATATGTTCAGACGATAGCAAAGGTAAGTGTATAACTATAGTTTTGATAATTAAAAATTATACATTTATATTATTTAATAAAAACAAAGTTTAAATGTACTTGTACTGACATAAAAAAAAAAATTGAACGATTAAGGAAGGGTGCAGAAAATAAAAAAATGACTAAAATATGTATGGCTCAACTAATGTTTGAAGGGGTGAACCATCCCAAAAAAGAAGCGGGGAAGGTAACTTACAAGATTAGTCGTCTAATAGAAAAACGAAAGGCGAAAATTATAGATCAACTGCAGCCCACCAAAAAAAATATAACCCATTAAATGACTGATGCCAGTGCCTTTTTTATAAATGTGATTCTATTTATTATAAGTTATAATTTATTACAGAATTTAATATAATAATTTTTTGTTATTTATGTATTTTATAACAGTTATGGTTACTTGTTAAATTTAATTCAATAAAAATTTATAATCTCTATGTATTTTAAATTCAAATTTAGATCTTTTATCCCAAAAAAATGTATACCTCCATTTTATAGTTATTTCGGTAATTAATTTGGTCTATATTTGGTCGTTTATTTTTTATTATTAGTCTCTTAAGTCACTATTTCTCGCAACATGGACTGCTGGGAGCCCTGTTGTGGAGCTAAGTACAATAATTGAAATAAAATAATGAATTCCAAGGTTAATAAAATATATTCTTCTTATACCTAATATGTTCATAATATAATATGAAAGTAATTTACATACACTTTATGTAAATACTTTGTCAGAAATTGCAAAAATTTAAGATTGTGAAAATTTTTAATGCTAACTTTGTATGTATGTAAATGCTACACTGCCTTGTACAAAATTTTGTACAAATGCATGCAAATGTGTCTAAAGGGTTAGAACGCGTTACATTTTTTAAAAAATATTTATTTTTTGGATTATAAAACTGATACTGTCATGAGAAAGAGTTTAATAAAAGAAAATTATATTTTGTAAGTTATATTTTTTAATTAATAACTTTGACTTTAATAAAGTCAGACAGGCACCTTGTCAACAATTTTTGTTAATCTGGATCTATATTTTTAGCATATTTAAGTTTAAACATTTATTTTAAATAGCACAACAGATTTTGTTTTATAATAATTTTATTATTAAAATTGTAAACAATTGCATTTTTAAGGATGATGAAGGTAACACTCTTGAAACTGAATTTGGTTTGTCAAGTTATAAAGATCATCAAACCGTAACAATTCAAGAAATGCCTGAAAAGGCACCTGCTGGTCAGTTACCTCGTTCAGTAGATATTATTTGTGATAATGATCTTGTTGATGCTTGTAAACCTGGAGATAGAATTCAAGTAGTAGGTAACTTTAGGTGTTTGCCAAATAAACAGGGAAGTTTTACCAATGGTGCATTCAGGTAAATTAAAAGATTTAAAATAAAGACAAGAATTTAACATATATTTTTTAATACATTTCAGAACCATTGTCATTGCCAATAACATATCACTACTGAGCAAGGAGGCAAATCCTTCAATTTCAAGAGAAGATGTTGCCAAATGTAAACATCTTGCAAAATCCACCAAAGATATCTTCAGCCTTCTCTCAAAATCATTAGCGCCCTCTATCCATGGCCACGAATACATAAAAAAAGCCATTCTGTGCCTTTTATTGGGAGGCGTTGAAAAAATTCTGCCCAACGGCACTAGGCTCAGAGGTGACATTAACGTTCTACTTATCGGCGATCCCTCTGTTGCCAAATCTCAATTGCTTCGGTACGTTTTGTGTACAGCACCGAGAGCCATACCGACTACTGGAAGAGGTTCTTCGGGTGTCGGTCTTACGGCTGCGGTCACCAGCGACCAGGAGACTGGCGAGAGAAGGTTGGAGGCTGGAGCTATGGTTTTGGCTGACAGAGGTGTCGTATGTATTGATGAGTTTGACAAAATGACGGATATCGATAGAACTGCTATTCATGAGGTCATGGAACAGGTAAATTAAAATTTTTCCTAATTTTGTTTTTATCGCTTCAGTGCAAGAACCAGGTATCTCCAAACATTGAAATTTCAAAGAAGGTAAAACTATATATACTACTATAAATTAACCTTATGCTTTAAACAAAATTTCACTTGGCATAAATATATACAAATTTTGTTAGCCAGGTCACTTCACGTCAGATCAAACAGTGCACTTCTTCACTCCAACATATTGTGTAGATTTGTATAGGCTAGGATAACCCCAAATCTTAATTTTGAGGGTTCTTTATGGAACGCCTTATTACTATTTAATAAGCCTGTCTTTAGTGGGAAATTCTCTTTATCAAACAGGAGACCTATTTTTAGTTTTGTTTTAAGATAATTGATTTATTTTTATTTGTTTTCAATTATTTTATTTTTTAAAGAGAATTTTTTATGTTTAAACGTTTTTTTTATAAATTAAACTTTTTAATTAAATGCAAAAAAATGATTTTACACCTTTAATTAATAATTTACTATTAAAAGTGATTACTAGGGTGCTTCAAAAAATTTTTTTTTTCGCTCTTACCCTCAACTGTTTCTATTTAATATAAAAAAAATCCTCTCCAAATATGGGCTTTCCACCTCAAATCTAAGAGGTCGCTGTTTTTATTTTAGTTTCCCATTTATTAACATGGAAAAATATAATTTTATGTTTGAAATTTTATACCTCTATATCAAAGTAATTTATGGCAATGATCATTGCAGTTTCTCATATAAAATGTAACGCTCTACAAAAAAGGTCTCTTATTATTTTTCAAAAAATTGATTTTTTAGAGTTATTTGAGGTCTAAGTTTGATTAACATCAAATTGTCTGTTTTTTTTTTAATTTTAATTAGCAGACGGGAGGTGAAAGGGGGCAAAACAAGGCAGCGAGGGGGAAGCAAAATGGGGTTTGTACTCGCGATGAAACAAATTAAAAATACGGATAAATAAATACACAATAGTATTACCTACATAAATAATTAGTAGTTGTTTTTATAGTTTCTTGGTATTTTAATTGTAATTAATTTATAAAAATAAATCGTTTAGTTCGTTAATAAACCAGTGCGTATTTTATTCACACTATTGAATAACAAAAAAGTTACAATATTATTAAAATTATTATTATTTAACCAACCTCTTTAAACTAATTTCAATTACACTGTAGGTAATTTTTAACTTTTGAAGTATTACAGCTAAACGCTCAGACAAGTAAACATAACTTTTGGTCTTAGATTCCAAATCCGTGCTCGGTTTAGCTGTATCAGGTCTAAAAAAGTTTTTCCTATTGGAAATCCGATCCGGGGACACACTGTATGCTGGTATATTATAATTTGTAAAATAATATTATTCACCTCTTGCGCCAATAGTTTTGTGCTTTTTATTTCATTTAATATAACATCCTTAATTGGTTATAAAAAAAAATCAAAAAAAACATTTCAAATTTCTTAAATTATCTAAGAAAAACGCTTAGGGACACGTGTTTCTTTTGATCAATTAACAAGAATTTGTTTTTTAATTTGGAACTGATGTGTAGGTCCAGCCATATTTATTTTTTTTAAATTTATACAGGGTGTTTCCAATATCTTTAAATTTTGACCTGATACAGCTAAACCAAGCATGGATTTGTAATCTACGACAAAAATTAAGTTTACGTGTCCGAGCGTTTAGCTGTGATATTTTCACCTCCCTACAGTATATAATTATTATTGTACTGAAATGTGCATTTTATTATTTTGTTTTAAATAAGTTTTTTTATTTATTTAAAAAGATAATTGAATTAATGGATTATCCATGTAGCTATCCATTATAGGTACTACATATGCTTTTATACTTAAATGTAATCAATATATTGGGCTGTTTATAAATGTTAAGCGGTTTTAAAGAAATTGTAACAGGAAAATTATAAATCTTATGGGTTTAAAAAAAATATATTAAAGTCAATATTCTATTGGGAAAATCCTTTTATATCAATACCTAATATTATTCAGATGTGAACCATCGCGTTATAAACACTTTTGATTAATTGATTTGAAGGGAAGCCTTTGCAGGCAGCCTTACCTTAGAAGCCCGCAGCTTTTAAGAAAAACGGAGACCCGCTCTGGTCGGGCATGCTGTATTTTTCCGGATCCAGATACCTGCCCTGAGGTGTCTTAGTCTGCAGTAGACTAGAGCGTCGCATTCGCTGATTATATGCTCGGTAGTTTCGTCTACTTCGCTGCACTATCTACAATCCGTCTCATTGCTGAGTCCGGATTTGTGCAAGGGCAATAGTAAACCTACCTGCGGGCAGCCTATGGTTACGGTTGAATCTCCGTGCTTCCAATCAAGCTTGTAATGATCCTGCTTTCAAGCATGACAAGTATCCATTTGACGATGGTGTTCTCTATGCCAAAGGTATTGCTAAATGCTTTTTTGATGTCTAGAAACGTGCCCAGAGTCATCTCTTTGCGACGGATCCCACTTTCCAGTCTTGTCACAAGGCTGTGGAGAGCGTTAAAAACATAAACAAGTTTAGAGGCAAAACGAAAAAATCCCGAAACACTTATTTATTTTTTTTGTAATGCTTTATCCATTTTTTAAATATACAGCAAGATACATACACCAGGGTGCACCAAATACACTTCTATGTATTGGTATCTTTTTTATTTGAAGAGCTAGAGCAGCGGTTATTAACCTTTTTGGCTGGCGACCCACAATTCAAAAATATTAGAAGCTCGCAACCCGATAAAAAATAAAATCATCAATTTTCTACATTTTCTTAATTTAAATTAAGGATGCAGTGATTACGGCGCGCTTTTTCAAAAAGTCCCGCAAGTCCCGCGACCCATCTCGATATGGCCCGCGACCCAAATTTGGGTCGCGACCCGAGGTTAAGAAACGATGAGCTAGAGCCTGTAGCCTACAGGGTCGTTTAAATTAGACAACAGTTGTGTTATTATAAGTCTATTAAAATGGCATTTAAAAATTGAAAAAAAAATCAGCGGTTCTTAAATGATTTAAAAAAAAACTGAAAACCTGACAAAAACCAAAAATCATTATAACTTCGTTATTGCTGGGAATTTTAAAAATAATAGGTTTTATAAATATACAAATTTATCTACATTTTCATCCAATTTTTGATTTTTTTCGCCTACTAGATTTTGACCACCATTTTTTGTATTTGCTATGACCGCCATATTGAAATTTTACATGGTTAGATTATAAAAATTATTATTATTATAAAAATTATTATAAAAACAAAAGGTAGTGATGGCAACTCACCAAAACATAGTAGCAATGAATATGAATAAAAACGTAGATTAATATATAAAACTTACTTTGTTTCAAAGTTCCCAGGAATAACAAAGTTATAACAATTTTTGATTTTTAAAGGTTTTTGTTTTCTTCATATATTTTGAGAATTGCTGTTTTTTTTAATTTAAAAAATTCATGGTAATAGGCTTGTAATTATGCAACTTTTCTCTAATTTAACTGACTCTGTAGCTCTTCAAATAAAAAAATCCCCATAAAAGTATCATACACATAAACATACTAATGTTACGTTTTTAAGTTGGTCAAAAATGATGAAATGTTTTAATTTAAAAAAATATTCATAAATTTCCCTTTGTTTTTTATTACTTTAAAAAAATTATTTTTAATATTGATTAAACTTTTGTAGGGAAAAGTAACCATAGCCAAAGCTGGTATACATGCTAGTTTAAATGCCCGTTGCTCTGTATTAGCAGCTGCTAATCCTGTTTATGGAAAAGTAAGTTATATATTAAAATTCGATTTATTTTATATATTTAAATATTATATATTTTTAGTATGACCAATACAAAACCCCAATGGAAAATATTGGCCTGCAAGATTCATTGTTGTCCCGTTTTGACTGTCTTTTTGTCATGCTGGATTCAGTAGATGAAGATCAGGACCTGAAAATATCCGATCACGTTGTCAGAATGCACAGATACAGGTATTTGAATCAGCAAATACAACATAAAAATTACAAATATACTCATGACATTTTACAGAAATCCCTTGGAACAAGACGGCGAAGTTCTGCCAATGGGCTCCTCTGTGGACATGCTCAGCACCATGAAGCCTGACCAAGTGGACGGTGAAAAACAGACCCCCCTCTACGAAAAGTACGACGCCTTGCTGCACGGTTCGAGTCGTAGAAAATCGGACAAAATTCTTAGCGTTGAGTTTATGAGAAAGTACATTTACTTTGTAAAGATATTGAAACCGACCTTGTCCGAGGAAGCCTCGGAAATTATCGCTGACGAATATTCCAAGTTGAGATCAGAAGATTTGATTGAAAATAATGTTGCCAGGGTAAGTAAAAAATATTATTTTTTTTAATAATTTATCCATATTGTAATAAAATAATAAAATTAAGTTACTTATTTTATATTGCATGATTAATCAATTTTGTTGACACAGTTACATAGTTATTTGTTTATAAATATTAATTTTTCAAATTGCAAATATGCAATTTTATTTGTATGACATAATCGTTTTTATTTTAATAGCTCATTATAAGTTGTTTTCAAAATTACAGGCCATTTTAAACTCAGATCGTTAAACAATCTAAAAAGGTTTTCTTTTTATCTTTAAAAACATTTTAGCAAAAATAGAGAAAAAGGAGGTAATGTAGTGCACGTTTTGTTTGTCGGCCATATTTTTAAAGCGATTTCGACAAATAGGCCTGCTTTGAAAGGATCCTCACACATTGCTATGCTAAGATTTTGTGTAGCTTAAATATGGTAATTGTACCTAACTCAAAACATAGTAGCAAAGAAGTTGGATGAAAATGTAGGTTAATGTGTATGTTTACATGTAAAACTTACTTTGTTTCAAATTTTTCAGGTTTTGAAAGGTTTTAAGTTTTTTTCAAATATTTTGAGAACCGCTGGCTTTTTCCTAGGGTATGTGAGGGGACTCAGTATGACCACAAAAATGACCTTTATTAAGCAACCCCTGGAGTTGTAATCTCCCCAACTCAATTTAATTAAATGACAACACTTTCTTTGTGATACCTCATTGAAAAGCTCTTAAAAATTGCTAATTAAGCGTACTAAAAAATATTTTTTAATAGTTTAATAATTTCTTATAATTATTTATTCAAATTTCTCGTTATAAATATGAAATTAAACCATTAAATATCAAATTAAACCATTAAATATCAAATTAAAACATTTTGATGTCATAAAAACATAAGTAAAAAACTGTAGAACAAAAAATAATTTTAACAAAAGTATGATAAACTAAAAAAGCATAAATAAACAAATTGTTCAACAATAATCCAAACACTTTAATTTTTAGCTTTTTAAATTAAATGCAAAAAATAACTCCAAAGAGTATATTTTTAAATAGTCTATTATTATTATTATACTGCAGTTCATAGACCACCACGATTTTGTGCACCATAAATAAAAATAATTTCAACACGTTCAGCTGTTGTGTAAACAAACAATACTATTTTAAATATTAAAACTATTCAGCATGAATTATTATTATTATTATAGCAGTATTTTTTGTTTTTATAAATCTGGTACAAAAAATCCACCAAAAACGTACACATTTCATTGAGGATATAAATTGTATAATAATATATTTCGTCTCAAAAATTCAAGTGTCGTTTTAATTCAAATACAATTACAACTTCCATTCGAATTGTTTCACTGCGCGAACAAAATAGAAAAATGGGAAAGAAATTTCAAGCTACCATTAAAATGATAGTTGGGTCAACGAAATTCATTTTATTACTATTATTGAATTTCTGTCTTTTTCATCTATCATTTAAATTACATATTGGTAAAACAATTCCATTCCATATTGGAAAAATACCTACAAAAATGACATTATTTGATTTTTTTTCCCATAGACTCAGCCAGTCACGCCTCGTACATTGGAAACAATGATACGTCTGGCAACCGCTCACGCAAAAGCAAGAATGTCGAAAACCATTACTGAAGAAGATGCCTATGCCGCCATAGAGCTGGTGCAATACGCATACTTTAAAAAGGTTTTGGAAAAGGAGAAAAAACGACGCAGAAAAGGCGACTCGAGCGACGAAGAGGTTGAGGAGGAAGATGGAAAGCCCACCAAAAAGCATAGATCTGCTGTAAGACTAATTTAATTTCTCAAATATATAAACCTATTTTAAAGTTGATTTTATAAATTGTTATTTTACTAAAAAACTTTGCTTTTTCATACACTTTTAGAGAGCCGCCGAAGATTCAGATGAAGAACTTATTTCAACACAGAGTTCCACAAGAAGTCGGGCATCGACCAGAATCCGTCCAGAGGATGAAACTTTGGCGGAAGAGATTACCCCCACTCCTACCACCAATGGTCATACACAAGATTCTATGGAAGTGGACTCGACGCCAACGGAAATCTCATTTGACAGGTAAATTTATAAAATTTTTGGGTGTGTAAATGTACATGTTACATTTTTTCTAAAATAGTTGGTTTATTTTAAATAAATTTTATTTATGCTTTAGGAAATTTATCTTTAAAACATTTTTTTTCTGAAATATAGACAAGCATTAATATACAAGGTGCACCAAGTATCTTTCTATATCTTTTTTATTTGAACAAGGTCGGTTAAATTAGATAAAAGTTGCATAATTACAAGTCTATTAAAATGGAATTTAAAAATCTCGATAATTTGTAAAAAAAATAAAAACCTTCAAAAACAAAATTCGTTATAACTTTGTTACTCCTGGGAATTAAAAAAAAGTTTTATAGGTAAACATACACATTTATTTACATTTTCATCCAATTTGTGATTTTTTTGCCTACTACTTTAAACAAGCCAACCCTGTTTTAAATAATACAAAATATATTTTAAATGATAATATAATATATAATTTATTATTATAAAAACAGGTTGGTAATAAATTATAATTATTAACTTAATAATTATTCTTGTTTTCATTACCAATTATATTTGTATTTATTATTTAATGTTAAATTTAAATTTTTCTAAATCCACGAAATGAAAACAAAAATACAATCAACACTACATATACAGGTATCTCAATAAAAAATATGAATGGATTTTAAAAAATAACTTGTTGACATTAATAAAGTTTATATTAAGCCGTTAAAGTTGAAAACTTTTTTGTTGCATTAGGGGACATCCATTAATTATGTGAGGCATTTTTCTGATAATTTGGACCCCTCCCTCTCCCTTGGTGAGATGTGGTAGACCCCCCTATCCCTCATGTGAGATTCTAGCCATTAAACTTTCATTTGACAAATTTTAATTTTAATACTTCTATTCTTTGAACCCAAAAGTTGAAGTGAGATTTTAAATATAAAACATAAGATGCCTTTTAAATAAAAAAAATTAAGAAAATTGTTTCCTTTTATTATTAAGGACGATAGGCTGTTTTTTTAATATACTGATAAAACGGAAATATTTTCTGATGCCATAGTTCTCTTCATCATCCTCATTCATACATACACTTTTTTTCAGTATGGTTTTAAAACTGACAACTTTTACACATACATATGAAAACAAATAGAAATAATATAACTTATTTATTACAATCTCAAAATCAACAAACTTGTTAATTACATGGTATACTCTATAAAGCATAGTAACGTGATCACGTCGACTACATCTCTAAGCTGTCCATATTAGTTCAGTCAAACTGTGGAGAAAAATAGCCTGACCTTATGTACCGAGGCACTGTCTGTTTTTTTTTATTTTAAAAGCTTAAACCAAATTTGCCCCACCTGACCATTTTTTCTTACAAAGGTATACGCAAAATACTTTTTTTAGTTTTTAGCGACTATTTCCCTCGTCTTAATTTCAACCAATCATAAACGCGCAATTTTGGTTTCTAGGTGAAAAAACTGTATGACAGCATCTGTCAGCAGTTTTTTCGAGTTTACCCGCGGCAAAACTTGACAGCTGTTGTCAACAAAAATTTCAATTTATATTTTAATTGTTAACTGTTACTCATGAAATAGTCTTGTCAAATACCATTCGGGCATCTAATTTTTCCTGTGAAAAAAATCGAAAAAACACAATGGTAAGTAATATTTTTTAACAAAATGCATTCGTGCAAGTGCAAAAATCCTTGTCTTCGACTCGTATTTTTGTTGCCACCAGCACTCATGCGTTTTGTTAAAATATTACTTAGCAACGTGTTTTTTCAATTTTTATCGGAAAAATTAGATGCCCTTATGATATTACTTACGAATATCTCGCCCCTGTATATTGCACAATAAAAAATAAAACAGCAAAATTATTTTTTATAAAAAAGCTGCTGAAAAGCCTGTTTAAAATATTTTATAGTTTGCCAAGCCGGGAAAATATGTTTAAACGCTCGTGGATTGGTCGCCTCTAGTTAGTCGCACCAAGCTCTATCTTTTATATTTTAGAAAATTAATAGGGCTACAAAATGTTTATCGTATTAATTTCCGTAAATTGAAGTTGACGAAATATTTGCAAAAAAGTAAAAAATAACCAAAACTTTTAATTTAACCAATTATATTTTATTACTTATTTATATAAACAAAAAACATTTTAGACAAAAATTATAGGAAATTTTATTTTTTAATTTTTATTGTGCAGCAAGATATTCACTAAAAACTTAACAAATGTATTTTTGCGTATATATTTGTAAAAAGAAATTGTCAGGTGGTGCAAATTTCGTTTTATGCTTTTCAAAGAAGCCCCTATCAATTCATGAAAAAACCCAGACAGTGCCTCAGCACGACGGTTTGAATGGACTATATGGCCGTATCCAAAAATTTGCATATGTGCCTTTTATTTACACAACAGAAAATTTGTGATATATACAAAGTAATTGTAAAAATCACAAATTAAAGATAATTGGTAAAATTTACTCAACTTAAATAATTTTACCGACTACGTGTTCGTAATATTTACGTATTCTAGTTCGTAATTCAACTAAATATTTTTTACTTTTTACCACAATACACAAACACCGGTATGCTGATGGCCATGTTATAGCTATCTATCTCGCACCGTGTGACGTCATCTGCGAATTAAAATCTGACGGGTAACTTGGTTGATATGGTATTTGCACTGAAAATTCACGTTATATTCAAACTTTTTTAAAATATTGGACGGTCTAGGTGAATTTATTTATTTTCTACCTTTCTATTATTATTTTTCAAAATAATATTTATATAATTAAATAATAATTATTAATAATAATTGGATAATTGTGAGATCTCAGATACTTATACTAGGACTTCCCTGGTGTAAATACTTGGGACAATGCGTTTTCATACTTTTGTATTGTAACATTCTTTTCGTCTAGTACTTGTCTAGTACTTCTTGTTTTAATTTGGCGTTTTCTTCTAAAGCTTTTATTTTTTTGTTCATTACATCGACATTTATCTCGTTATTTAAACTAAAAAATAACAGTTTTGTAAAACATTCGTAATTTAATTAAGGTGAGATGCTTACTTTGGTATCATTGTATCTTCAATCAACGCCTGTGTGCTAGTGAATCAGTGGTCATTCCATTTAAAAGGTTTTTTTTTTGTACAAGTTAGCATAACAAGAATGGGCATAATATCCACTTTTAAGGCTCCATCACTTTTAATTCTTTGATTTTCGTAAATATTTTTTATGAGCATAAACTACAGCTGTATAAGAGTATTGAATGTCAATATGAATATAATCAAAGGATATACTTTTTTTGAAGTTTGATTTTTTAGTTTTGTATATTTCAGCCTTTTTTCACCATTTTATAAAACTGAAATAAGACAAAAATATATTTTTCTGAGCCTTTATTTATTGCTTTTTACAAGGATGATAAAATTTTACTCCCGCTTTTGTAAGAGTTTTATTATTTTAATTTTTATAAAAGTTTGTAAATATGAACCAAAACATTGAAAAAATTACCCCCTAAATAATTCCTTAAATATTGTTTTTTGTCTGCTGTAGCACAGCCCAGCATATTTTAAATAGTTATTAAGATCAACAAATAAAACATAAACTTAATAAAGAATCTTGTATGAAACACCTGTGCATAAGTTATGCCTTGTAAATAGTTATTGTTATTCAATAAATGCAGTAAAAACTTTGCAAAACTCCCGTGCGTGGCTTATGCTTTGAAAAAACAATAATTGCGGGAAAAACTCAAAAGAAATCGTAGTAAAGCACCTGAGCGTAGCGTGCGTTTTATAGTTTCAAAATTCTCAGGAATAACAATGATTTTTGCTTTTGAAAGGTTTTTAGTTTTTTTCAAATATTTTAAGAACCGCTGGCTTTTTTTAAAAGGCTTGTAATAACGCAACTCTTGTCTAATTTAAATGACCCTGTAACTTTTCAAATAAAAATACCCATAAAAGTATTATTAACATAGAAGGATACACCCTGTATAGTAAAAAATATTTTTTTTAAGAAATATGGAAATAGAGGAGTTTTTTTCATTTAAAAAAACGATTTTCAGTATTTTATAGTAAAAATATGTTTTATCGTTTTTAATGCGATTCTATTTAAAAATCACTTTTGTGGTTCAAAAATGCATTTTTTTGAGTTATTCACAATACTTAATACATTGTAACAAGTCAATAGCCTATTGGGAAACCAATAATAAATAAAAATAAATGTTTTATTAAAGGTTTTAATATATATATTTTTTCTTTTAGATTGTCATCATTTAAGAGCAGTTTGCAGAAAGCATTTAGAGAGAATAGAACTCAGTCCTTGTCTTTGGCTAAAGTAAAAGATTTTGTAAACACAAGTAGTGCTTCTCCGTTTAGTCAAGGCGAAATCAGTGCTGCAATCGAAAAAATGACTGAAGACAACCAAGTTATGATGGCAGATGGAATCGTCTTTCTTATTTAGGATTTACTTAATTTATTTTTTATTTAAGTTTTTAAATGTACCCACTTATAACAATAATAAACTTTTTAATTATAAAGGTGTTTTATTTAAAATCTTACATTTACTTGGTTATTCAGTAAATTTGGTACATGAAAATAAAATTAATAAACATATATTTTGTCATATCTAATATCTATTCCGACTATTATTTCTCTCATGGTAATTCCTATTATAATTTCTACGGTGTCTACCATATTCATTATGTTTATTATCTCGGTTATCATGTTTGTGGTAATCACGCCTATTATCCCTACTGTCATGCCTGTAATCATCTTCCCTGTCCCTATAATTTTGAGAAGTATGTGGCATTGGTAAGTTCATCGTTCTTTGATTAGATTGGCTTTGTGGAGCTTGTCTAGGTTTCACATTTATTTTTTTTTCAAATAAACTCGTACCGTTTAGAAGTTGGGTAGCATATGGCACAGATATTTCGTGTTTCATTGTGATAAAAGCAAAATTTGATCTTCTACCTTCTTTATCCGTCGGTATTTTAACTCGTTCTAAAGGGGCAGCTTGAAGAAAAAGCTCATAAAGTAGTTCCTCAGTTACTTGATTTGATAAATTTCCACACCAAACTGTTCTTGCGTCGTCCATAATACAATAATAACAAGGTAAACGTGAATTTCAAATGAACTATGTTCTGTGAATGAACTCTCAGTAGTGTCAAACAAATATGCTGTCAAATCACTATTTTTTTGTTTGTTTTTTAGTTGGTACCAATGTCCATTGGCAATGGGACATTTGAACTACTGATACGAGGGTGCGTCGAAATGCTGCGATTTGGCATTGTTATTTGAAATTGGGTTACTAGTGTAAAATTATTGATTATTTCAGGAAAATGCGCTCGATAGTCCTTTGATGTATAATTTCCTTGAATGTTCGTTTCAAACCTTGAACCTCATTATGATTGTTAATATTTAACAAGAAACTCTTATTTTCCTTTAATAAAATGGGTTTTCAGAACTGGTACATTTTAATATTTTCTTCACTTTTTTTGGTCGATTTCGGTAAGGATTATTTTTTCAAATTATGCACAAATAAAAAACATTTTTTGTTATTATTTTAGGTTTAACAATAGACTGCTTTAAATGCATATCAATTAATAATGATTATCTACCTTGTGAAGATCCTTTTCATAATAACTACACATTAGATATATATCATTCCCCTTGTTTGGGAGGAAGAAAAGGAAGAGATGGGCTGTTTCCAGCCACTTCTTGTATTAAAATTACCGGAACTTTTGGTAAAAAATGTTTTATTTTTAATTATTTACTAAACATTTTGTTTTTAGATGATAATGGTGATACAGTTACCTTAAGAAGTTGTGCCTTAGATAGTGGAACATTAACAACTGATACAGAACTAGTAAGGATGTCACATTGTGGGGGCTTTTATTATGGAGATAGGTAATAGAAAAATTTTTTGGGAGTTCGGAATTTACCGTGCTAGCACGAGTTTTTTCCGCGACGGCCGATCATTTAATCGCGTAAATGCGGCAACTGACTTGTATTATATTCTACGTAGGTATTGCTTTTAGAAAACAAGTGTATAATAAACATAAATTGGGTAGTTTAGAGCCCATTTTTTTTTTAAATTTTCGTGTAATGTGAACAAGTTCTGCATATTAATTAACGCAAACATTAAAACAAGTTATACAGCAAAAACTTTAGTTAATAACTCCACTATTTTTTGCACTTGTGCCCTTTTGCTTCTAAAGCCTAATTAATAGATTGCTTTCCTTCCTTCCTCCCGTAAAATATAAACAATACGAACGAATAGTTTAATTAATTTTTAATGTGAACATTTTTTATGATTTTCTATGCAAAATTATGTATTTTTTAATTAATTATTTATTTCTTTTAACACAAGGGCAACGAAAACTTTTTACCGTGCTAGCGCAGAGTAAAGGTCAGATTTAATTTTAATTATTTACGTTCACAGTATTTTTTTCATAAAGAACGTTACACCCTAGGGGTCACGTCTAGCGTAACCATTTGTCATTCGAAATTCGTTATTTTGACTTTTTTCAAGAATATTTTCTTCATTTAATTTCTGCCAAATTAAATATATTTTATACATAATTTTTAAAATTTGTAACGTGACATACCCCTTCTGTGGTAGTTTGCGATGCTGTGCCCATTTGTGCCAAAGGGGAGGTTGAGTCAAAGATTCCCTAAAAAGCGTGACGTCCTTTATGAACGGCCAGAATAAAAAAAATAACTTTAATTTCAAATTTTAGATATGTTAGAGGTTGCGTACAAAGCTGCGACGACGCTGATGCTTGTAATAAATCAACACAATTATTGTTTTCTGGTTTTATTACATTTACACTAACTTTTATAATAAAGTTTGTCCACTGAGTAAAATACAATCTAGTTTTTATAACTTAATTAATTATTACATGTATAAAATTAGTACAAAAACAACAAACTTTTACTGCCTATATTTAAATAAATTTTAACGCAATTTTTGACTTTTCATTAAACCTAAATTGGGATTATAAATTAAGAACTACTATGCTTGGGTTTTGTTTCTTGGTCAGTTACGGTTCTAATGTAAATGGCATCCTCTGGTAAAGGATTAGGGGGATTATCTTCTTCTAAGAAATAGGAACATGCAATTGCCAATACTGAACCTAAAAAGTAAATAAAAATAAATTAAAAATTATAGAAAAGAAAATAAATAAAATCAATCTTACCGTTATGACTAAAACTAAGAGAGGTAATTGAGGTGGGATATTGATGAAACTGGCACAATCTTTTCTTATTAAATCCATCCCAAACATTTACATAACCATCAGATCCACCAGTCGCAAAAGTATTGTGTCCAGGGTGAAAACTAAAAATAAATCAAAATTTATACAAAATAGTCCAGTCAAATGGCCTTGCGTGCTGAGGGACATGAATCGAAAGGGGCCTATTTAAAAAGCTTAAAACCAAATTTGCGTGACCTGACTATTTTTTCTTACAAAGATATACGCAAAAATACATATTTTAGTTTTTAGCGTATATATCGGCCACTGTAAATTGCACAACAAAAAGTAAAAAAAACAAAATAATTTTTTATAAAATTTTCAATAATTTTTGGTTGAAGTATTTTTTGTTTAAACAAATGAGTAAAATAATATATTCAGTAAAATGATTTATTTCTTTTTATCCTTGGTATTTTAAAACTTTTTTGCAAATATTTCGCAAACAATTTGTTTTATAATAAATTATTCTGATAAACATTTTGTACCTCTTTAAAAATTTTACAATTTCAAAAAAATAGAGCTCGGTACGACAAAAGAGCAGACCAATCCTCTAGTGAACATGGCCGCGCTCGTACACCCATAATAACGCTTTTTCTCACTACTTTAGAGGAAGAGTCTCATGCTCGGTTTTTTAATGCGGTGTTTCCTGTAGGTCTAATCCATGTCAAAATATATTTATTTCTTCTATCTTTATGATCGTTTGACTGTATACAGTCAAACGATCATAAAGATAGAAGAAATAAATATATTTATCTCCACGCGGTCTATAATTTAAACTTTATTGTTGTCAACATTCGATAAAGAAATACCTTGTTATGGCCTAGGCCGATAAAAATTTTTATGAGGCAAGTAATTAGTTCAATTTTTTCTCGCTAGGGGTATTGTTTTGACAAATTAATCCTTTTCTAAGAAATTAACGTACTAAACTGGTTTAATTTATTTATAATAAGCACTAATTTGTTTGTTTTACTGTTTTAACATTATAATGTTTAATATTTTTCATTAAATTATTGTAAAATTAAATATGAATAATAAAACAAAAAGTGTGGTTAGGACATTGCAATTTGACGTTTCTGTGGATTTCACAGTTGTTTTCTTTTTCTACGATTTAAATTATCTTTAAATTTTAATTTGCTTTAAATTTTCAGTGAAATTAAATGTTAAACACAGCGTAAACATTCCAAACTACCTATTTTTTTAATAAAAATGCAAACAAATTGAAATTAGATACCGTAGAGTGGTGATATATGAAACGATTTTTGAATATTTCTATTTACCCTGGGTTTCCCTTTCCTTTATTCCCAATTATGTCAGTTGGGTCCCACAGGGGTAGTACTAGTCCACAATTTCCATGGCCCAAAAATCAAGTTCATCTTTAATGTCCTGTTTTAAAAAAAATAAACTGTGTTTCATATAACCTCGGCAGTTCGGGTTATATGAAATGATCTTCATTTTTATTGGAAATGGTTATAAACTTAAAATTTATATCAAATATAACTTTTAAGTGGGTTATATGAAACAGAGATAGTCTTTTTTAAAATGTTCAGTTGAAAGTACGTGAATAGGGTGCTTTCTGGGGCGGTTATGATTTTTCATGTGAAAAGGAAATGTGTTGTTTCATTTTAAACTGTGCGCCTTTATTAAAACAGCTTTATTTTTAGAAAAAAATACAAAAATTAACAAGCAAATAAATTCTTCTTCAAAACTATAAATATAATATTATTATCAAAAACACAAAAATAATTATTTCATATTTTGGTTAAAGGTATGGACTCCACGGCATATAATGGGGGACGAAACTTTTTTCTCAATATTATCCCGACGGATCCAAGCGATATCTTCCACGTCTGGAAAAATAAACATATTTTTCCGTCCTTTGTAATTTCGTAGAAATTTAATATTGAATGTGTCGTCCTCGAAATTGCATGCTATAATTTGCCCCACAAATCTCTTTTGGATTTCTTTTTTGGTGCCCTTGTCATAAGTCAGTCTTACTATCACATATGTATTCTCAGTGAATTTGTCACAGCTCTGGGTTTCATTTGAATTTTCAGTCTCATCAATTTGAGTCTCTGGCTCAGGAGTCTGGGTATCAAACTCATCAGTCTGGGTTTCAAGAATATCTTCATCTTGGTTTTCCAATGCTTCTGTATTCTCTTCAGCATTATTGCTGATCTGACGGCGTCGAACAAGTCTTGAAGGACCAACCGCCGGTTCTTCTTGCCGAAAGTCATTAACAGAAATTGATTTTCCAGCAGGGACATTTAATTTCTTGCGTCGCTTAGTAGTTTTCTTGGACTCGTCATCTTGGTTTGTCTGTTGAGCCATGACTTCAGAAAATGAACGAACAAGTGCATCATTGTCCCCATCAGCATATTTACGTTTCAGCAGCTTTCGTTTCACTCTTTCGGGATCCAGTGGAATTATTCCACTTCCAGCAAAACCTGCTTTAATATTGCTTTCCATTTTCGGTGCCAAAGCGACAATCAATTTGTTGAGTAGGCGGGGAAAGACCGATTTCGGAATTACTCCGGTGTTGTTTTCTTTCCAATTCTTGAGCACTTTTCGCCATTGTTTCTTCAGTGGCCCAAAAAATGATACATCCATGGGCTGACATAGATGGGTGCTGTTCTTGGGTAGAAAAATAAATCCGATGTTATTTTGCTCGCAGTCTTCAATTATTTTGAGTGACAAGTGGCTTCCTAAATTATCTCCAATCATAAGTTTTCTTCCATCTTTTCTTCTCAAATATGGCAAAGCAACATGCGAGAACCAGTCCTCAAAGGTGTCGCCATCAAACCAGCCGCTATCGGTTCTATTAAAACGTCATCCTGGCGGAGCACCCTCACACCATTCTGGATAAAGATGTTTACTCTTATAGACGACGTACAGCGGCAGAAGGACGCCATCACCACTTCCCGCAAACATTACCGAAGTTGAGCTTTTTGATGTATCCATAATTCTGGAGGCATGTTTTGTTCCCCTGGATACAAATACTCTTTCTTTTCCCGGATCATCGCACAGATTAGTTTCATCATAGTTGATGATATTACCAGGCGGAATAGCTTCGATTTCTTCTCCGAGATGACGAAAATATTCATTGATGATCTCTTCCGAAAGATCTGCTTTTACTCTCTTCATATTTTCACAGTTTCGGCTTGAAAGTTCCGGGTTTCTTTTTTGAAAACTGTACAACCATTCTTTTCCAGGTTTGTTATCATTAAAGCAGGCAATGTTTACTCCCTTTTTATTTAAATAATTTTGTACAAATGCGCAAATTCGTTCCTCGGTAAATGGGTAGCCATAACCTGCCGCCACTTGCATGGCGGCGACCAAGTTTTTTTCTTCATGGGGGCGTAAAACGGGAGGTTTTCCAAGTTTATCGGAGGTTAGACCCCGAAATTTCCTCCATATTGTTGACCTCGGCACCCCAAAACGTTCCTCTGCTTGCGCAAAAGAAATGTTTTGTTCGACAATAGCTTCTAGTGCACTTTCAAGACTTGCCATTGAATAATTTCGTCTAAATGCAGTCCCCGGAACGTGTTTATGGACCCGACCCATGATTATTTAATGTTTCATAAATCCTTAAAAAAATCAAAATTTTTACATTTTGGCCGTTTCTGAGAGTATGAGTAGTTCGATGGAATTTGTATAGGTATCAAATAAAAGTTGAGGTTATGATCTAAAACTAATTCCATTGGCTCATAACCCTATTATCTATGGTATATGCTACACAGGATAAATAACTTGTACTTTATGAATAACATAAAAATTGACAGGTTTTTAATTATTTATTATCGCTTACCTGTTGAATTACAATCGAGCCGGGTTACCGCCATTTGATTGACTTGTTTGTCACCAAACTGTCACATACCTTGGTATTTGATTTTTAATCGGTTGGCCACATTGACGGCGCTAAATTCAAAACATTGACACTCTATTTCATATAACCCACACTATTTCATATATCACCATTCTACGGTACCTATTTATTAAACAATGAATTGAATTCAATGTAATAGCAAGAGGGTAAGTAAACCATTTTCTTACAAAAATCCATTTCTACTTAAATCATGTAGCTAGGTATTGTCAAACTATTACTGCTTCTAAAAGGAATAATAATTATTGTACATTTAATGTAATCTTTAGCTAATAAATAAATGAGGTTCTAAAAAGTGAGGTTAGGGCGATTTCATGTTGAATTAAATTGACCTATATAAAGTGCTTTGAAGATAAAATGTTGTATGCCATTCGGCCAAGAAGTGCCTTTTTGTGCTTCGCTCAATTGTAGGCCTCCGCTACGCGTCGGCCTTCAAACCTTGAGCTTAGCACAAAAAGCCTTACTTCTTAACCTAATGACATAAATAACTATTATATATAATTTTTTTTAGTGGAAGTGTCGTATGGTAGGTCCGGCCCTTTTTCAGATTTGCTGTATCTTATTAGAGAAACCATGGTTGGTAGATCAAACATATCTCTTTGTCAGAGTCAATGGCAATCTATCTTAAGTTTAAACATATTTTCCTGCAAGAAAATGTTTTAACTGCGAAACATTTTAACCCGGCCTTTCGACAGCCGCGAACGTTGCACCGCATTGATTCGTATAACGGCACGACAAGTGATATTGGTTTCGTTTCTCCTGACTCATTGGCTTAAGAATTATGTTCAACCGGTGATTGTCAATCTCGCTAATTTGCCAAACACGAACATTTCATAAGATTCAGGCATAGCTAGGAAAAGAGTAAAGCTAAAAACTTGTCACGGCCTCAGGAGGGACGGTCCCATCATCACTGGTCGACATAATTTTGTACTGGTGTACGAATGCGGCGCGGTGCGGCACAGCAAGCAACTTTCTAAAAGCCGGTTTAAAATGTTTTGTAGTTTGCAAAGCCGGGAAAATATGTTCAAACGCTCGTGGATTGGTCGCCTCTCGTTAGTCGCAGCAAGCTCTAATTTTTATATTTTCGAAAATGTTTTTCTTAATAACACTGTAGGTAAACTTTTGAAATATCACAGCTTATCGCTCGGACACGTAAACATAATTTTTGATCATAGATTCCAAATCCATGCTCGGTTTAGCTGTATCAGGTCTAAAAAAGTTTTTCCTGTTGGAAATCCGATCCGGGGACACACTGTATACTGGTATATTATAATTTGTAAAATAATATAATTCACCTGTTGTGCCAACAGTTTTATGCTTTTTATTTCATTTAATATAATATCCTCAATTATACTCAATAAAAAAAAATCACAAAAAAAAACATTTCAAATTTCCTGAATTATCTAAAGGCCGTATTACAGCCGGAAATTCTTCTTGCAGCAATTTTTCTTGCAGCAATTTTTCTTGCAGCAATTATTCTTGCCATTAAGTTTTCAAGGCCGTATTGCATGTTGTTTTACAGTCAGCAATGGCAAGACAACTTGCTGTTTATTACCGTGCTACCAACCGAAGAAAAATATACGATTTTGTAAACACTAAGTTTATTTGTTATTTAGTAGAGATATTTAAAAATTAATAAGTAAAATGGATACTAGAACTTTGAACAAAATGTCAATCATAAAACAAATAACCTTAAACTGTTTAAGTCAACCAGCGTCTCTTTAGAGAATTTGTAGTAGGGTTGGTAACATAAAAGTTACCAGATTTCACCCCAGAATTGCCGTGAAACGGCAATAAAAATCCATCCGGACCGATTTTCGGCAATTGCAAGAGATTCGTCGAAAGGTCTCAACCGCGCATGCCTATGGTAATTTTCATTGCAATTGACCATATGCAAGGAATGCGGTCGATGTTGCCAATGGTAAAAAAATAAAATTCCCTATTGGGAACATTCAATTATATTACGTTGGCTACATTGAAAATTTGAATTTCCCGCACAAACTAAATTAATTTCCATCTTTTTTTTTAATAATAATAAATAATAATAATTCCCACATTTGAAATTCGCACCTTCATTTATTATACAACATTGGAACTACCTTCTTTATCTCTGGAAACTACTAGAATGTATGTCAGTTTGTGCGGGAAATTCAAAATTTCAGTGTAGCCAACGTAATATAATTGAATGTTCCCAATAGGGAATTATTTTTTTTACCATTGGCAACATCGACCGCATTCCTTGCATATGGTCAAATTGAAAGAATTGCCGGCTGTAATACGGCCTTAAGAAAAACCCTTAGACACGTGTATCTTTTTATCAATTAATTTCAAATGTTGCAAGAATTTGTTATTTTTTAATTTGGAAGTGATGTGTGGATCCCGCCAAATTTAATTTAAAAAAACTTATACAGGGTGTTTATTTATACAGGGTGTTTCCAATATCTTTGAATTTTGACCTGATACAAGCACGGATTTGTAATCTACGACAAAAAATTAAGTTTACGTGTCCAAGCGTTTATCTGTGATATTTTCACCTCCCTACAGTGTAATTTACCGTAAAATACACAGTTTGCGAAATATATAAGTAAAAAAAAACAAAAAATAAAAAAAAATATTTTAACAAACTATATTAAATTACTTATTTGTATAAACAAAACACCCTTTAGACAAAAATTATAGAAAATTTTATAAAAAATAATTTGATTTTTTACTTTTTATTGTGCAGTATATCCACTGGTGGATAAAAACTGAAAAAATGTATTTTTGCGTATATCTTTGTAAAAAAAATTGTCAGGTGGTGCAAATTTGGTTTTATGCTTTTCAAATAAGCCCCTATTAATTCATGAAAAAAAACAGACAGTGTCTCAGCACGCAAGGTCAAACGACAGTTTGACTGGACTAAAATGAAGGTGTAAACAATAAGGGTTGCCAGATTCTGTCAAAAAAAAGTACACTTTGTGAGAATTTACCTTAAAACAATAGTGGTGTAGCAAATACCTATGTATTGGAACTTTTTTACAATGGTCAAGTGATGCCACAAATACATACCCATGCAGCACAAACCAGAGAACCAAAGTTTAAGAAACAAATTAGTTAATTTTTTCCCAACTAAGTTTGGCGTATGTACGATATTTTACATTTATTGGGGTTTATCTGGACATATAAATTGTCATTTTCGTTACGTTTGACCAAAAATGGACATATTTTTCAATATAGATATTTTTGTCAAACTTCGTTTGTAATGAAGTTTGGTCGAAAATTGGCAAATAAATTAATATTTATGTTAAACAGCTAATATAATATAGTGTCAGTTACTTAAATAGCTATTTGTGTATTAAGAGTGCAAAGTGATATATTGTCGCTCTGAATGTCACTTTGCGTTCGAAGAACATAAGGCTTTTTTTGTAACAATTTATGTTTATAACGTAGTAAAATAAACTTGCCTGACCTAGTTATTAATTGTTCATTTTTTATGAAATTTGGTATGTACCCATTCTGAAGTATGCCGCTTTGAGTGACTTAAGCTACATTTTCAATAGACCTATCTCATAAAACGGACTTTTGGATAGCGCGTGCGTGAAAAGCACGTCGTCTTTTTTTAATTATATAAAAGAGAAAGAGATACCACTCTTCTTCAGGCACGCGCTATCCAAAAGTCTGTTTTATGGGATAGGTCTATTAACTTATTTTTGTCCTAAACCTTCCAAATGTGTTTTATTTTGCGTTTAACGGTTATAAAGATAACAAATAAACATATCTAACATGGTTATTAATTGTTCAATAACATTTCTCTGATCCAGCTAGCGCTAGCTCTATTACCAAGAACCGAGTAGATATAAGAAATTCGGCGAAGTTGATACCATAGGCCCTCGAAAATTTGCCGTCGCAGGCTATAGCTTATCTAGCCTATTAGAAATTCGCCAATGGGTATTGCTGTTTGTTCATTTGCTATTGACTTGAAAATTTTCCCATTTCATTAAAATGAAGAAGTCCCTTTCAGGCCCGCGCGCGGAATAATAAGTTTTGTTTAATATAAAGTATATTCCGTATGATTTAGTGGTTGGGATACCTAGCTCTTAATATGACAAGATTTTTTGTTTTAACTTTTTTCCTAAATAATTTATTGGTATAATGTAATTATTAATAACCAAACGAAAAGTAAAAATTTGCGCTTCCAAAAGAAAGCGCAAAGTTGCACTTTTTCGAGGAGCGACCATTTTTTTACTTTGTCGCTCGCCCGAGCGACAAAGTTACTTAGTTGCTCGCTTAGTGAAACCCATGGAAACCATAATAAAGAAACGTTTAGTGTATTTGGGACTTTTGACACAAACGTCAAATTTGAGGTTATCAATAATTATTAATTTTTTCCAAACATTCTTATAGAAAGACCGGTTGTAGAAAAAATCCTGTGTGTAATTCGAGCGCAAAGACTAATGTAAAAATGAAAAATTCCGATAAGAAGGATCTTACTATTAATATTAAGAGCTCAAACGTAGATAGGCTTCTTTTTAGGTACCCTACACAGCAAACAATTTTTTAAATATCAGAAGTAAAAAAAAAAATTTTTTTTGAATCACCCTAGTATACATAACTATGATATAATATAATATACATATTAGGGTGTCCCTTATTTTTTATTTTTTTACGCATACCCTCTAATTATATTTATTACGTGTTTATATACTCACAGTAAAAATTTCAGCTCATTCTATAAACGGGAACCCGTGCCGACTTGCATCTGAACCCTCCGTGAGCCAACGTTAGGCGCGCGGTATTTTGTAACACGGTTGGCCGCGAGGTCTTCGATCGTAAGTCATTTTGTGTTTGTTATTATGTGACCCTTATATTATAAATTATTGACAAATGTTAAAATATAGTTTTATTTATGTGTATACTTTGATAAAAATGTATATTTTCACAGGGAGTGGCTAGTTACCCGGAAGGGTCTAGTGAATATGCCGTAAACTCTGAAATTGATAAACTTAATGGGATTTACTCTAAATAACTAAAAGAGTCTATTGTGAGAGATGACTACCGAAAACTTTCTGAAATATTTTTGGGAGGACATCAAGAAAAGAAATGCTTATAAAAAGCTGAAATTTCATATAACAGTATATTTTAGCAATACTAATTAGTATATTAATATATTTAAAGGATAAAATCAACTAATTTTTTTTTGGTTATTTTTTAGCTGTCATTCAGATATAATAAAAAAAAGAGTTTCGGGTAATTAGTTTTACGGCCTATTCACCCGACACTTCTGGGTAACTAGCCACTTCCTGTAAAATTATTCATTTTTATTAAAGTATACACATAAATAAAACTATATTTTAACATTTTTTAATAATTTATAATATAAGGGTCACATAATAACAAACACAAAATGACTTACGATCGAAGACCTAGCGGCCAACCGTGTTACAAAATACCGCGCGCCTAACGTTGGCTAATGGAGGGTTCAGATGCAAGTCGGCACGGGTTCCCGTTTATAGAATGAGCTGAAATTTTTACTGGGAGTATATAAATAAGTAATAAATATAATTAGAGGGTATGCGTAAAAAAATAAAAAATAAGGGACACCCTAATACATATACATCAAAATTATTTTTGGCAAAGGCAATACAAATAATTATTTAAGATACCTAAATAATAAGAAATCCTTAAAAATGGGTTTGAATTTTTTAGAAATTTGATAAACAGTACATATACTGCTGAAATAAAATGTGTGACTTAATGCAGGTTGACTATCCCTCTTATTGTTTTATTTCATAAAAAAAAACAAATAGCAGAATGAATTAAGATAATTTTAGTTGTATTAACTTATTTTATATACAACTTACCTTATGGCATTTACAGGATATATTTTTTCAGTCCCATCCTCCTTAATCCTATGACATTTAAATGCATACTTCTTTTTCTGAACATCAGGATTGGTATCCAAATACTCAACAGCCACCCTACCTTCAATACTACTTAAAACAAAACCTTGCTTATTGGGAAAACATCTGATTGCTCTAGTTTGATATTTTAATGAGGATTCGCGTTTTTGTAAAGCATAGGACATATTTCTTATGTCCCAAACCAAAATTTTCCTGCCAGCTGTTCCTACCACTAATTTTTCACCACATACACTCATAGCATAAACTTTGTCACCCTGATTGTAACTACCACTGCACATGGGTGTTCGAGGATCCCATAATTTTAAATGGTGATCCCAACTACCAGTAAGAATACCATTTACATCACTGCAGTATTCTACACATTTTATTGCATTATTATGGGTTCCAATTAAACTTTCTACAAAATAATGTAAATTAATAAGTGCAAGTGCTGCAAATTTTTTAATGTTTTTGGATGTGGGAGGGTCAGGACAATATATTTTTTTGGAGGGCACACATTTTTGTTTTGAGACTGCTAAAGGGCAGGGTGTACTGGGTGTATTCCTAAGAGTTCTGCCCTGATGCAATATAAACTATACAAATAAATCCCATTTATTTCTTTAAAACACTGAATTTCCTGTAATATAAACTCAATAGAATCGCTCAATTGACAGGTTTAGACCAACAAATTATAAATGTTAATTTTATTGAGCACGCCACATGTATTTACAGGATTTCAAAACACAAACTGTAGTTTATCACCATCATTATGAAATTTTAAACATGAAGCATTTTACACCATTTTTCAAAAGTAAATCAAGGAAAAATAATTTGAAAAATATTTGCATTCAAGCAAGAAAAAATTAAATGTTAAGTATAATACTATTCTTTTCTAACCCTTTTAACAAAATAATAACAAAACAATATTATACCTGAATTCACATTAAAATCGTATGTTTTAAGAGTATTATCCAAGTGTCCACTGTATGAGTGAACAGCATCCTAAAAAAAACTATTACTAAAAGAAAATATTATTAAAATAAGCAGTACTTACTGTAAAGCAGCAATCAAGCACTGGAGAGTCTTGTCCGTATTTATGCCTTAAGATATTAGCGGCTACATCGTATAATCTTACTACACCATCCCAAGAACTTACTAATAAAAATTGGTTTGTATTTGGTCCAAATTTCACAGACGAAATTGCGTCGTCTGGTGGAGATTTTAATCTATATTCGGTTTGTGACTTCATATCAGCAATATTGAGGCTTTAAGTTTAATTTTAATAAAAAAATTCCAGCGGTAATAGAGGTTATGTTTTGTGGTTATGTTTACAAGCAGAGATACCAACTTTTTAATAAATACAAATTTTCATACCAACCTCAGAACAAAATTAGAACCAAAAAGTTATAGTGATTATTTAGGGAATGTTTATTTTTAAGGATGAGTCACTGTCCGTCAGTGACTGACGTTCAATTTTGACATTTGTAGATGTCACTAGAAAAAGCGGATAAAAGGTGTGAGAAGAATATTTTTTTATTTAAAAATGGAACAGTATGATGTAATTTTGAATCAACCCGTTGTAATAGACAATGTAAGCAATAAATTATTTTTTGTAACGGTGTTTTTTATTGTAGTTTTTTGTAGGGTACTGGAGTGATTAAAGCTGGGTTTGCTGGTGATCAAATACCAAAATGCAGATTTGCGAACTAGTAAGTTATAAACAATTTTGGCTTTACCGGCTTTTTTCACGTATTTTTATTTAATTTAGTGTTGGAAGACCAAAACATGTTCGTGTAATGGCAGGAGCATTGGAAGGGGATATTTTTATTGGCCCGAAAGCTGAAGAACACAGAGGTCTATTATCTATCAAATACCCAATGGAACATGGGATTGTGACTGACTGGAATGACATGGAAAAAATCTGGAACTATGTGTATTCAAAAGATCAGTTGTCAACTTTCCCTGAAGAACATCCGGTGCTTTTAACAGAGGCACCCTTAAACCCAAGACCTAATAGAGAAAAAGCTGCTGAAATACTGTTTGAGACTTTCAATGTACCTGCATTGTTTATATCCATGCAAGCTGTGCTTAGTTTGTAAGATCATTAAGAAATTACACAGGGTGTTGGGACATTAATTTTAACAGGATATATACTTACAGGTTCTGGAGAAGTATAAAAAAAATTCTTACAAGTAGTTTTTGGGTTATTACCCTTAAAAATACAAATATATAGTAGGCATACTATATACAGCGTGTCATAATTTCTTCTGCTTGATATATAAATTCGATTCGCGTTGAGAAACATCCATTTTGTTGTACAGGGTGAGCAAAAATACTGATTTTCAAAATTAAATTTTTTAAATATATTTTTTAAAAGTGCCAATAGGTATAAAGAGCTGGTAAGGAGAAATCAAAAAGTCAAATTAAGTTTTTTCATATGAGTTTTTAATACTAAGATATTTGAAATCGAAAATTTAAGATATTAGTTTTCAAATTTTAACAAATAATTGTAGACATTATGTCTAAGACATATGACATATGAGTTGAAAGCAACTCATATGTCATATGAGATAGCAGTCAATTTCTTACAAGCCCTTCATATTAATAATTCAAAATAAATATTTAACAATTTTTAATTTTGCAAATCTACAATTGTACTTTTTTTGCACACCCTGTGTAACAAAATAGAAGTTTCTCATTGTGAATGGTATTTATATAACAAGCAGAAGAAATTTAATTTCTGAAATTATGAGGAGTGACTTTTCTTCGAAAAATTTAAAATAAATATTTTTACAAGTATAGTTAAGTCCATCCATGGATACTGTAACTTAACCTCTATAGTTAAAAAATGGTTTAAATGATCTTTCCTGCTGGGAGGTATAGTGCCATTATACAAATCCCCTTTTTAATGCATTTACAAAATGTAAGATAAATATACTATATTGCGTTTTACGCATTTTATTTTTTGGATTTGTTGCACTTTGCTTCTCATATAGGTTGTGTGGTGGATGCCAACAGAATACTTCACCAGTACATCATACCACATACCTAAATAAGTACAGAATGAGTTTTATGTTGACACTTTTTTTAACAGTGTGTAGAAATACAAACAAATATTTCAAGTAACTTTTTTATAAAAACCCTCTAAAATAAGAGGGAAACAGTATTTCAAAGTTAAATTAAATTTTGAGGCAGAATGCAAAATGTCATTGTTAGGAAAAAAGATAACCATAAAAACAAAAATGCCAAATTTAACAATACATAATGGAGATTCCATTGTATATCCAGAATTTGTTTTACTGCTGAATATTTCTAAATCAAGATGCTCTCGTAATCTACCAGTTTCCCTAGCTCTTTGAACAGCATTAAAAAATACCAGTGGGCGCAGGTAAATCCGGCTTGGGTAACGATTTACACAGAACGGCCCTACCTTTAGTAAAAAATTACATTTTGCATTGTTAAATTTGACATTTTTATTTTTATGGATATCTACAAGTATAGAGAAATTTTTGGCAACTGGACCGGCCTCAAATTTTAATTAAACTTTGAAAGGCTGTTCCTCTTTTATTTTTGAGTTTTGATTCACAAGTTTACTTTATATACCTATTTGTTTGTGAATATGATTTTTACATGCTGTTAAAAAAAACGTCAACTTAAAACTTCCACTGTACAAAAAATTACAAAAATCTTTTACTATATATATATTGATTTTAGCAATTCACTAGAATAAACGTTTTATATTCTATAGTAGTTTTTAAGTAGGTACTTTTTTAAAACTAATTAATATTATTTTATAATTATTTGTTAAAAAGATCAGTTCGTATTAAACAGTTGCTTAGTACAGACGTGAAAATCTTGCTGCAGTTTATTCGCAATTAGTGTTAAGAATGGCGGATGAAAGTGACGGTGACGTATCCATGGATGAAGATGGTAACCCATCAAATAGGAAGAAAAGAGGCACAAAGGAAAAGGGCAGTAAACCAAAAAGACACAAATCATTCACTCAAGAACAAATCAATGAAATTATAGGTACACAGAGTACATCAAACAATTCCACACAAAAAATTCAACAAAAAAACACCACAACATTAAAAACAAACAAAAAATTACTACAAATAAAACATTCTACAATTATACACCAAAAACAATGACAGCTAAAAAATATAAACACTTCTTCCAAATCACGGCTGAAAGCAATTTCACAAGAGAGGCATTTATAAAAATATGGGAGCGTGTACACCCTAGAGAAAATGACATAATAATTAATACACGTTCTGGATTTCTTCTAAAAACAAATAATGAACTCGCTGAAACAACTCTCGAATCACTTATCAACTCAGGAAAAATTGAAAAGTTTGAACTATCCCTACCAAAAACGAATGCTACCAACTCTACCCCTTCAGAAAGCTACTCTGTCGTCATTGCTATTGTTGACCTGGAATACGACGAGAAAAACATATCAGAAACACTGGATAAGAACGACCTTTACCACAGATACTGCAAAAGAATTATTTCCAGGACAACTGGTAAACCTACTAAATTTATCCGGGTAATAACTGGTTCCCAAGTCACCTCCGAAAAACTCCTATCCCAAGGATTCTACTATAAATATAACCACTATCCTGTATACCCTAGCAAACCCCCTATTCCTTTACCTCAACCTTGCAAAAAGTGTCTTTCCTTTGAACACACATCCGAAAACTGCAAAACGACTAGAAAATGCTCCAAATGCTCCGGTACACATGATGAAAGCAAATGTACGTCTCCTCTTCCTCCTAAATGCTCTGGATGCGGATCTGAAGAACATCAGGCCTGGTCACTTCAATGTCCTAAAAGACCCACAAAACCCATTGAAGGTATTCCCAACATAACTATTAAATCCACCAACAAAAAATCAAAAGAAGTCTCAAGAGAAAACCAAAAGTCTCGCATTCATTCACCCCTGACAATTCACGACATGATTATTTCCACCTACATCAACAAACTGAACGATAACAAAAATACAAACAGAGAAGAATTAATACTAAAACTTAGAAAAACATTTGTTCAAAACTTTAATATAGACACAGTGGCTATTTTTTCGGGATCCAGATTGTACATCCTAATGTTTGACCTGGAGGCCGATGAAGGCTCTCCTACAGAACCATCCAACCCAAATAGTAACAGCCAATATGTCCTTGACAACTAAAATAATCTATGCCAACATCAACAGCTACACCAGAAGAATGTTTTTAATAAATAACTACATAGAAAAAAACGATATACATGCCGCAATGTTTGTAGAAACAAAAACACTGGAAACCTCCAACACTTCATACAGAAACTGGAACATTTTGCAACACAATGGATACTCACCAAATAATCATGCCAGAGGTGGAAGTTTGATACAGTCCCATCCCAACAAACCCAGAATAAACAATGCCATGAACGAATGCCTACACTTGACGGTGCCATTCAAAGAAGATAAATTACACATTTTTCTAATATACAGTCATCCTAATCTCCGTATAGAAGAAAATATTTTTGTAATGGCAAGCCTATACAAATATGCCCTAATAATAGGTGATTTTAACATAAACAATAGATCAAAAAAACTGCAACTAAACAACTTCCTCTCCAATTCAAATTTTATAAAGCACGAAACTCCGCCCACATTCATTATGCCTCTAAACAACGACACCACGCCAGACCTGCTCCTCTATACCGAAAACATTAAGAATAATATAGAAAATGTTAACCTATTTCCAGATCTAGGCTCAGATCATCTTGCTATGGAAATTAAAATCAACTTTGATAAACCCCTTAGCTTTGTGCAACCCAAAAAATATAATTTTAACAAAACAAATATGGAAAAGGTAAATAGTGAGATAAAAAACTGTATTGGCCTTGAAGAGAATAAAAAAATAACACCCAACACAATATCTAATTTTAACAAAAATCTTTCAGACTCTATCCTGAAAAACTCTCCTCAAATATCTCATAGATTTTACCAGCACCAGCTTCCGCCATTTATAATCAAACTTATTAAAAGAAAGAGAGCCATGTATAGGGAGTATAGGAACACCGGAGATGACACAATAAAAAGAGAGTTAAACCGTTTCAACCACACCATTCAAAGGCTAGTCCAGCAATTTAAAAATCACAACTTTTTAAAGACGTGTGAGGAGATTAACATCAAGAAAGGCAAAAGCTACTGGCAAGACATTCAAAAATTGAGCAAATATAAAGGTAACAGAGCAAAAACTAGTACCCTCGAAGAAAATGGCAACCTGTTAGACTCCGACCCTGATAAAGCAGAAGCATTCGCTCGATATTTTAGCAAAATATACGAGGAATCACAGGACCCTTCTTTTGACGTAGAGACATATAACCTGGTAAACAACTGGTTTACCAATTTTACAGTAGAACCAGATCCGACGGTTCAAAGAAATTTAAATAACCTTGACGACCTATACTTTGAAGTAGTATTTACCGGTAAAAACTCAGCACCAGGGCACGACCATATTACCAAGTGCAATATTAGAAAACTGGACTCTGAGATTCACGACTATATTATTGATATATACAGATATTGTTTTATTAACAACTACATCCCAAAGGAGTGGAAAAAGGGCACGATTATAACAATACCTAAAGCAAATTCTAATCAGGCGCTCATAAAAAATCATCGACCCATCACTCTATTGCCGGTAATAGGAAAAAATTTTGAGAAAATCTTAAAGCATATGTTACAAAAAGAAGTTGGCGAAAAAATACCCAATTATCAATTCGGCTTTAAAGAGGGCTGTTCAACCATTCATCCTCTGACCATTCTAAAGAACAACATCGAAACAGCAAAACTAAATGGACAAACATCGGCAGCACTGTTCCTTGATATAAGCAAGGCCTTTGACTCAGTTTGGATAAAAGGTCTTCTGTTTAAACTTTTCCACATGGACTGCCCAAACTATCTAGTTTCACTTTTATACAAACTTCTAAACACTAGAACCCTAGCAGTCAAAGTCGGGAATTCCCTCTCAAGCAGTTTCGTTACCAAGCAAGGCCTTCCACAAGGCTCACCCCTTTCCCCTCTTCTCTATAACTTATTCTGTCACGACATATATAGCCATCAATTCGCAAACGAAAACCACTTTAGCTTCGCATCTTATGCATTACAATTTGCCGACGACACAGTCCTCATCTCTCACAAAAAATCCCTTCCCCAAGTAATAACAAGCCTCCAAAACCTGGTTAACTCTACATCCGAATGGTTCTCTAAATGGAGATTGTCACCAAATCCCAATAAATCACACTTCTTAATCTTCCACCACCGTATTACCGATCAGTCTCCTTCAATTTCCTTACAAGGCTATACTATTCACCCAGAAAGCTCCACCAACTACCTTGGTATACTTCTAGATCACAAAATAAACCTTAAACTCCACACACAAATAATAAAAAAGAGGACAATAGCAAGGGCAAAACACTTCTCAGGACTAAGGGTCAACAACCATGGACTAACTACCAACAATCTAACCAAAATATACCAACTTATCTGCAGACCGGTCATTGAGTATGGGTTTCCATTATTCCTCAATTGCAAAACTCCCACTTTAAAAAACTTACAAGTTGCAGAAACATCCTCCCTAAGAAAAATTACCAAAATCCGCCATCCAAACAATCCTCTCCATAACCCTCCCAATCCTTTCCTTTATGAAAAAACAGGAATAACACCAATAATGGACAGAATTCAAAACCTTGCTGACAGATATAGAGAGAGAGACAAGACCTCCGAAATTCTTTGGGAATTCTGTATAACAAGAGCAGAAAATGCAAGAAACGGATATCCGCAAAAAACAACCTTAGAATTAATATTTAATGATGACTAGTAATATAATTATTATTGTATACATATTTTTTGGTTTTTTTTTTTTGTAAGAATGTGATATATCTATTTTTAAAATACCATTGTTATATTATAAACATGTAATATTCTGGCTGAAGGACGTAAGTCAATGGCCCTTTGAAACTTCAATAAAGAACATTAATAATAATGTTAAAAAGATTAAAAACAATTTTTGAATCACATTACAAAAAATTGTTAATAATACCAAACCTAACTTAATTGTTTTTTAGCACTGACTTAAAATTTAACGTTTTGCATCTATTAATTTATAAGTATTTTATTGTAAATAAATATCTATTATCATAATAATTATTATAAAAATATTACTACACTAACAGTCAAAACATAAATTCTCGACCTTTAAGTTAAGGGTATGCGTAATAATAACGTTAAAAATATAGATAGAGACCACCCCTTACCGAATTGTTACTGTTTGAGTTAGTTCTATGACCTGTTAAAATTTATGCATTAACTTTTAGAACCCTGTATTTTGACATAAGTATTCAAGATCTTTTTAATTATAGGTATTCCACTGGTCGTACTACTGGTGTAGTGCTGGACTCAGGGGATGGTGTGACTCATTCTGTGCCTATTTATGAAGGATTTGCTTTACCACATAGTATTATGAGATCTGATATAGCTGGAAGAGACGTTTCCAGATACTTAAGGTTACTGTTAAGAAAAGAGGGCATTATTTTTAAAACCACTGCAGAATTTGAATCTGTGAGGACATTAAAGGAAAAAGCTTGTTATCTGGCTAACAATCCAGTAAAAGAAGAATCTGTGGAGACAGAATTAATCAACTATACTCTTCCAGATGGTAGTGTTATCAAAGTGGGCCCTGCCAGGTTTAGAGCCCCTGAAATTTTATTTAAGCCTGATTTAATCGGGGAGGAGTTTGAGGGATTGCATGAAGTACTAATGGATTCTATTTTAAAATCAGATTTGGATCTTAGGAAAGTTTTGTTCAAAAATATTGTGTTATCTGGAGGTTCCACATTATTTAAAGGTTTTGGCGATCGTTTATTATCGGAAATAAAAAAATTATCCCCTAAAGATGTTCAAATTAAGGTAAAAAAGCACAGATCAATTAAATGTTATATTTATTTATTTATTTTTATAGATATCTGCTCCTCAGGAAAGATTGTATTCAACATGGATTGGTGGGTCTATTTTAGCATCATTAGACACATTTAAAAAAATGTGGGTCTCAAAAAGAGAATTTGATGAAGAAGGACAAAGAGCAATTCATAGAAAAACGTTTTAATTTAAGATATTTTTAACCTCATATGTGATTCTTTGTTTTTGCAGCATTGTAATCTATTTATTAAAAGTCAATGTTTTTAATCTTATTTTATTAATTTTATATTTATTTTATATGGAGTTTTTGTTGTAAAACCCTAGTTTTGCCTATGAGTTATTAGTAAATTTATTATTAAGCTTATTAATGTATTTTTACAATTTTTTTATATAGAATATAACTTATTTATAAGAGCACAATAATACTATTCATTTTACTCTTTTGCTTAACGCCTACTTGTTTAATTCTTAAAAAAATTTTATCAACAGTTTTATTTAAAATATATATTTTTAATATCCACAATTAACTAAAAAACTTATACTGTTCACTCAACTGTTTTGTTCTATGGTTTACTTAATGCTTATACAGTATACAGGTTGGTCTGTGGTATAAGGTCATTATAAAATAAAATTGGGCATGTACCTTGCTTAAAATACCCCATAGAGACCTGTCCATGGTTTTTTTCCGGATACGGCCCGATAGAAAATTTATAGGAAATTACCCATAGGCACACCATAACTTTTACATTTTCGCTATTGAGCGATAGCAAATAACTCAATGAAGGATATATGGGGATTTCCCTATAGAGCAACCATAAACCATTTAAACCTAAGGGGGAAAAATTAATTTCTACATTTATATGTATTTTCCCCATTGAAACCAATAGCAAATATATTTGCTATTGGTTTCAATGGGGATGTATGGTTGTTATATAGGGATATATCCACCCTTGATTTATAAATCAAGGGTGGATATCCCTATAGAACAACCATACATACCAACTATGGGTCCTATACCTACCGATACACCCTATAGAAACACCATACATTCCGATACAAATATCTATATAGATATTGGTTTGATCAAACATGTTCAAACATGGTCTCTCTGGGGTATTTTAAGCAGGGTAGGCATTAACACTTTCGCTGTGTATTTCTCCATCCAAGGGACCAATACGGCGTTGTAGAATACCTCGGCTTCGAAAGTTTTTGAATTTATATTTTGAAGTTAGGTGTGGTCCCTGATTTATAAATTTTCTATTCTAATCCATTATTTATTGAATAAAACAATGTATTTTGTTTATATAAATTTTTTTAAATGAAAATAAACATACATTGAATAAAAATAAACAACAAATTTTTTTAAAAATCATCGGAATCTGAAGAAAATTGAACAAAATTATTGGCCAACTTTTGCAGCTCATCCTGCGTAAGAGGCCTTTTCTTGTCATCTTGTCTTAACAAACTAAGAATACGACTGTATATAAACCAACTGTCAGTTCACGCCAGTGATTTAAGATTATGGTCCCATATATGGGACCAGCGGCGTATGGCAATTGATTGTAGTCTACTACGCCGCGCTGGCCTTTACGGCCAGAGCACAAAAACTCAAAAACTATTGTTATTTTTCAAAATATTGATAAAAAACTTTACCACACCTATTTACTCATCTTTTGGGATGTTTACGCGCAATCGGCCTCAGCTATGCTAGCCTAGAAAAAGAAATAATTTAAAAAATTTGCGTGGCAGCGAACGTCCGGACGGGCCCGGACAACGTTCGTTATATTCATACAAACATCACGTCGTGATTTTCACAGATTTTATTCATACTGATATCATACGGAAGTCACCGCGTAATAATTGAAAATCATACGAACGCCACGTCGTGTTTTTCACAAATTTTATTCATACGGGCATCATCCGGATGTCACTGCGTGTGAAATGAAAATCATGTCGTGATTTTTTATGCCAACGGTGTTTGGATAATCATTTTTGCGCCACGTTCGTACACTACGGGAAAAATTATGTTGAATCAGCAGTTTTGCGGTTAAATACATTCCATATTTTCTTGGATTTAAATTAACTATATATAGATAATTTAAATCCAAGAAAATATGGAATGTTAAACTGTTGATTCAATTGTTAACATACTTTTTCTACGAATGTATCGCAAAAATGAATATCCAAACACCGATGGCATAAAAAATCATGTCGTGATTTTTTATGCCCAAACACCGATAGTATAAAAAATCATGTCGTGATTTTTTATGCCATCGGTGTTTGGATATTTATTTTTGCCCCACATTCGTACATTGAGAGAAAAAGTATACCTACATATATATTATATTATAATATATATTATTATATAACATACATATAACATACATTTTGTCACAATGTACGAATGTGGCGCAAAAATAAATATCCAAACATGTCGGTGCACCGATGGCATAAAAATCATGTCGTGATTTTTTATGCCATCTGTGTTTGGATATTTATTTTGCGCCACCCCAGTAAGCACAAGCTAACCGGCCCGCACAGAACATACGGCCCGAATACGTTTTGCCGAATCGGCTATGTTTACTCGGCCGAGTGTCGGCCACAACAGCAATTCAAAAAAGCCTTCAGACGTCCTGGATAGGTACCTATATATATATATATATATATATATATATATGTTTAACACACTCGACTATAGCTAGCCATTATTTGTTACTGAGTAGATGAGGATGGAGATGGGGACTTCAAACAATTAATGTTCATGAACATTATAGCTATACCATTACAGACGCACACTTCCAACCTTATGTTCTGTGCTTCCAACTAAATATTGCAACCCATCGCTACTTATAGTTAGCTCGCTTGCGTAAGCAACCGTGAGATGTATTATGCCGCGGCAGGCCGTATTTCGGCCGTAAGCGGGCCGGCTAGGGCAAGCCGAACGATTTTGCAGCGGCATGCCGTATTCTGGCCTACTTTTGGTTAGAACATGGCCAAACGATACAGGGCTAACCTTTTGTCTATGGGCAAGCCGAACCGCCGGTCAACCGCCTATGCACAGATTATAAATGTTATGCCTATGCCGAGCGAAGGCCGACTGTTTGCCGAGTGTTTGGTGCTTACTGGGACATTCGTAGTACGAATTTTATTCATTGAGAGAAAAAGTATACGGCAATTCCACGCGTAACGGATGGGACAGTTGCAAGTTTTTATTTACAAAATAACAAGTTTTTATATAACAAATTTTTATAAATACCTAGTTCTAAACAAAAGCTGTTTAACAAGGTTTTTATTTGGCAAAATTAGGTATCGTAGTTGACTGTTTAATTAATTCCTTAAAAATTAATTTTTTTATTCAAAAGACTACTATTGTCGAGTAAAATTCAGGCCAAGTTGAGCGCTTTGGTGGGAAATCATGTGGCCGTTGATTACATTAAATATCGAATCTTCGCGAGATTTCGGTAACAAGAATATGATTTATCAGTGCCGCGGCTTGCTGTTTGTTCGTACAGAGCGGCTACCGAAATACATGTATTTAATATATCAATTTGACCATATGCAAGGAATGCGGTCGATGTTGCCAATGGTAAAAAAATAAAATTCCCTATTGGGAACATTCAATTATATCACGTCGGCTACATTGAAAATTTGAATTTCCCGCACAAATTAAATTAATTTCCATCTTTTTTTTTAATAATAAATAATAATAATTCCCACATTTGAAATTCGCACCTTAATTTATTATACAACATTGGAACTACCTTCTTTATCTCTGGGAACTACTAGAATGTATGTCAGTGTGTGCGGGAAATTCAAAATTTCAGTGTAGCCATCGTAATATAATTGAATGTTCCCAATAGGGAATTTTATTTTTTTACCATTGACAACGTTGACCGCATTCCTTGCATATGGTCAATTGTGCCTGAAAATAAAGATGATGGACGGGGTGACATTCCTTAGACCGCTCAAGTTAGCCTGAACGGACAGTATGCAGGATTTATGCCATAAATGGCTGATGTTGGCAACACTGCTCTGCAGTTACTTTAGAACCTTCTTTATCTCTGCTTCAGAGGTTGGCAACAACGTTCAGTATTTTTTGACGTCTGTCGAAAATTTGTTTAGTGACGTTTCTTGTAAATAATTCAATATGTTTTAAAAATGTTATTGTTAGTAATTAATTAAAATGTGCGATACAAATAATATTAGCTTGGAAAAATGTAATGAAATGCCTGAAGCAACAGAAGTTAAAAACCAAGAAGTTTTAAACACTAATTTAAATGAAAATGTTTCAAAATTTTTTGGTAATCCTGTTTCTGAATTAAAAAGTAATGAAAATACATTTGAGATTACCGATGAGGAAGCAGATAATAACCCAAAAAAACTTTTAATTGAAAATAAGACTGAAATAAATATAAAACTGAATGAAACAATATGCCTCCAGGAAAAGATAATAGAGCAGAATTCAGATAACATTAAACAATTAACTGAAAAATGTACCCACCTCGAACAAGTTAAAAAAGAATTGGAGAAAAAATTTGACTCTGTAGGTGATAAAATAATAAATTAAATTGTATTATTGTATTGATTTTTAGGCAGTTAAAATAAAAGAAAATGCTATGAAGGAAAAAGAGACTACAGTAATAAGGTATGCAGTGAGTGAAAAGAATGTTTTGAAAGAAAAACAACAAAAGGAAGCTGCAGAGAAGAAATTGAAGGAAATTCAAAAGGAAAATGAAATATTACAACATAAATTACAATCAATGATTTCAGAGAAATCTAGAATATGTCAGATGTTAGACAATAAAGTAAATTGCATTTATTAAACAAAGATTTCACCCAACTAACATAAAGAAAATTTAGACTCCTTTTGAGTGTGTTTAAAATATTTAAACTATTATATAATAACTTTTAATTTGAATACTTTCTACACTTATTTGTTATTAAACACTATAAGGATAAATCTACTTTATACTTTATATAATATATGGGATAAAGACTATAATAGGTATACCTAAATTGGTACAGATTAAAGGGAATCTTTGTTTAAATTTTCTCCACTTAAGTTTAGACAATATGCAAATATGTTATTTTTAACATTTAAATTTTAGTGTTATGAGCATAAAACAGCTCAACAAGATTTGGAACGTACAAAAGCAGACCTAACAGCACTTGAAACTAAACTAAAATGGTCACAAAACAGCTTACAAGGAGAAATAGATGCTCACAAGGTATGTCTTATTATTATTATTATTATTTAAAGATGCAATTACCCTCGCAATTACCTAGCTTCATTAGGAATATAGTAGTGTCCCTAAAAAACACAGCTTACACAAAATTTAATCATAATTTATACAAATAATTTGCAAAGCATTTGCACAAAATTTGTATACAGTACTTTCTTTTCTAACACTGTCCTACTGTCCTTCGAAGGATTATGAAGTACCTACACCTAAATGTACTTTTTTTTAAGATACACAATTTTAATTTTAACCCACCTGCAAGCCACTGATCATCTTGCTGTTTAATGGGGGTTTCCCATTCTACAGCGCGGGGCGACACTACATAACGTAATAATCTAGCTTGCCGATATCGACTCGGTTTTCATTTATTGACCACAGTTCGAACAGACAAGCCGCGGCAAATTGTTCTAACTTTCTTATTTAACATGTCACTGCCTCGAAGAAAATGTCATTTTAACTCTGTTGCAGGCATTGTATCCGTTTATGAAAGTAAAATCAAGTGATTCACCGCATATTGATATTAATACAATTGTGTATTGTGTATTAATGCAATTGCGAAATTTGCCGAAGTTATGTTGATATTTCTAACAGTGGTCGCAGCACTATTAAACAACATTTGTTGAAGAAAAAGCATGTTTTAGCTGCAAATACAAAGTCAAACAGTAGCAACCCGGACAACATTCGTAATATTCATACGAACATCATGTCGTGATTTTCACAAATTTTATTCATACTGATATCATACGGAAGTCACCGAGTGATAAATAAAAATCATACGAACGTCACGTCGCGTTTTTCACAAATTTTATTCATACTGACATCATCCGGATGTCACTGCGTGAGAAATGAAAATCATGTCGTGATTTTTTATGCCATCGCTGTTTGCGATTGACCGATGGCACAAAAAATCATGTCGTGATTTTTTATGCCAACGGTGTTTGGATAATCATTTTTGCGCTACGTTTGTACACTAAGAGAAAAATTATGTTGAATGAACATTTTTGCGGTTAAATACATTTAATATTTTCTTGGATTTAAATTAACTATATATAGTTAAATTAAATCCAAGAAAATATTGAATGTTAAACTGTTGATTCAATTGTTAACATACTTTTTCTTTTAATGTACGAATGTGTCGCAAAAATGAATATCCAAACACCGATGGCATAAAAAATCATGTCGTGATTTTTTATGACCAAACACCGATGGCATAAAAAATCATGTCGTATTTTTGCGCCACATTCGTACATTGAGAGAAAAAGTATACTTACATATATATTGAATCAACAGTTTTTTAGTGGTTAAATACATTCAATATTTTTTTGGATTAAAATTATTAGTTAATTTACATCCAAGAAAATATTAAATGTATTTGACCGCAAAAACTGGTAATTCAATTGTTAACATACTTTTTCTTTCAATGTACGAATGTGGCGCAAAAATAAATATCCAAACATGTCGGTGCACCGATGGCATAAAAAATCATGTCGTGATTTTTTAGGCCATCGGTCAATCGCCAACACGCAAAACGCATAAAAAATCACGACATGATTTTCATTTCTCACGCAGTGACATCCGGATGATGTCCGTATGAATAAAATTTGTGAAAATCACGACGTGACGTTCGTATGATTTTCATTTATCACGCGGTGACTTCCGTCTGATATCAGTATGAATAAAATTTGTGAAAATCACGACATGATGTTCGTATGAATATCAAGAATGTTGTCCGGGTTCAATTAAAAAAGATATTCCAATGTTTAACAAAACATTCACGTTTTGTTAAACATTGGAATATCTTTTTTAATTGAACCCGGACAACATTCGTGATATTCAAACAACGTTTTATAAACTATAACGGTGTAATGTGAATAACAAACTATGTTTTAAATTCGCAGTTCGCAGGGCTCATACGCATGCGCAAATTTTGCAAATATCACACCGTGAGTTCTACATGATATCACTGTGATGAAGCATGTGTATGCACTCAGGATATCACAGCGTGAAAAAAAATCACGTTGTGATATCATCATGACTTCACCAGGAAATCCCGATTGTTGTCCGGGAAATTGGAAACTTTCTTAAAAATGAAAATTTCAGCTCGGAAAATGTGATAATTCCCGCCAAGGAAGCTACATTTGCAGTTTCAGATCTTTAGACTGCACATCAAAACTAATAGTAAATATGTTTGAGCCTAAATTTGCCGCCGCTCTAACCAAGAATGTCAGTCTAAATTAAAAATTGATCTACTAAAAGCAAATTTTAAAATTGTTAGCATCACTATAGATTCGTCAAATCATAAGGAAATTAAAGTTGTGCCCTTAATAGTAAGGTACTTTGATTAAAAAAAGGGTATCAAAGTGAAATTACTTCAATTGCGGGACTTACCTGGTGAAACATCAGAACAGTTGAATAACTATGTGGTTAATGCTTTGAATAAAGACAATTTACTTGACAAATGTATCGGATTGTCTGCTGATAATATCAATACAAATTTTGGCGGAATGAGAAAAAAAGGGGTGAACAATCTATTTCAGTACCTTAAAATTACAAGGTTCTAAGTGCAGCTGAACTGTTAAGCGAAAGTGACTTTATCTACAATATTAAATATTGCAGATAAGGCATTTTTGCTTAACATGGCAACTGCACCTAGAACCTTGTTATTCTAAGGTACCGATTTACCAAATTAAATACTTCTCGTGGCAAACCCTTGGTTGGCATTGGTTGTGTGGCACACATCTTTAACAACTGTGTTAAAAATGCGACGGACGCCTTGCCAATTGACGTTGAGGTTATTGCTGTTAAGATTTTTAAGCATTTCTATATTTTTACACTAAGAGTTAATAAGCTACAAAAAAATGTTATCATTTTCAAAAACCAGATTTTTTCGAACCCTTGAAAGCATATTTTTTTATTCATTGACAAATGTCCAACAGTTAAAAACAGTTTTTCCAAAATCCAACAAGCGAAGCTTGGGTGTGGTTTCCCTGCTTAAAATACCCCATAGAGTCCCTGTTCAAACCGATAGATATTTGTATCGGGATGTATGGTGTTTCTATAGGGTGTATCGGTTTGTATAGGACCCGATGTTGAGATTTATGGTTGTTCTATAGGGATATCCACCATTGATTTATTTGCTATCGGTTTCAATGGGGAAAATACACATAAATGTAGAAATAATTTTTTCCCTATAGGACCCTATAGGTTTTAATAAAATTTTGTCAAATGTTTTATGGTTGCTCTATAGGGATATCCCTATAGGATATATATATATCCTTCATTGAGTTATTTTCTATCGGTCTCAATAGGGAAAATGTAAAAGTTATGGTGTGCCTATAGGTAATTTCCTATACATTTTCTATCGGGCTGTATCCGGAAAAACCCATGGACAAATGCACATATAGAATCCGGTAGCGCCCGATACATTATTTTGTATAGGTCTCTATGGGGTATTTTAAGCAGGGTTGTACATAACATTGCATCTGTCTTCCACAAAGTGATTTTAGATGTAGAAGGTGACTAAATATGCGCAAGAGAAGCCGCCTTGGAGTATTTCGAACTAATAAATAACCCTGCTTAAAATACCCCATAGAGACCTATACAAAATAATCTATCGGGCGCTACCGGATTCAATATGTGCATTTGTCCATGGTATTTTCCGGATACAGCCCGATAGAAAATGTATAGGAAATTACCTATAGGCACACCATAACTTTTACATTTTCCCTATTGAGACCGATAGAAAATAACTCAATGAAGGATATATAGGGATATCCCTATAGAGCAACCATAAAACATTTGACAAGATTTTATTAAAACCTATGGGGTCCTATAGGGAAAAAACTAATTTCTACATTTATGTGTATTTTCCCCATTGAAACCGATAGCAAATAAATCAATGGTGGATATCCCTATAGAACAACCATAAATCTCAACTATGGGTCCTATACAAACCGATACACCCTATAGAAACACCATACATCCCGATACAAATATCTATCGGTTTGAACAGGGTCTCTATGGGGTATTTTAAGCAGGGAAGATTCAAAATCGATTAAATGAATTATTTTGCCGCTTAAAGTGAGAGAGTCACTTTTAAAACTTGAAAATATGGAAGACATCAGTGTAAACTATCGGGATGTCTTTACTACTCATGTCAAACAATTCTATTCAAATTGCAGAACTGGAGTTCAAATTTAAGTGAACTAAAGCTTTTTGGATGGGTTAACTTGAAAACAAGCTACTTATGCTGAAATTTTGTCTTCTTGTGAGGCTTTTAAGGACTACATCGGTCGGGTATTAAATCAGGACGAACTGTTCGATGAAGTAAGTCTAATACGAACCAACGTTACAGAAGAAAAAATTGCTGACTGGAATTCCAGAAATATTTCTACTGAAGATCGATGGCTCAAAGTTTTCAAAATAGACAAGGAATTAAAAAATTTAAAAATTTTATGTGAGTTTATATTTTGTCTGCCAGGCACCAGTGCATCAATTGAGCGGTTGTTCTCAAATATAAATAACTACTGGAGTTCTGAAAAATCGCAGTTGAAGTTAGCTACCCTGGAAGCCATAATGCAAGTCTACAGAAACTTTGATTAGACTTGCAACGAAATGTTTCACATTCTTAAGGGTAAACCACAAATTTTGAAGGCGATTCTTAGTTCCCAAAAGTACGACTGGTACCAAAATAATGATAATCTGGATGGTCAAGCCAGCACGTCAAAAGAAATTTAACTTTATGATAATTATTTTATTATACAAATACTTTTTCTTTCTGCTGCATCTGTGTGCAATAAAAAATTTACATGTATTTATAAAAAAGGGTTATCGGTTAACCGGTTGATTAAAAAATTAAAATAACCTCTCAAGTTAACCTACCTTCAAATAACCGGTTATTAGGTTAACCGGCGCTAAATAACCGCCTGTTATAATTATTAATTATTAATACTACCAGATTGGCGCACAAGCACAAAGACTAGAGTACA